GTGGGCGCCTCGCAGAGTCCTGACCCCCCGTCACCGGGGCAGGGACGTGCTGCCCAGGCCGCATCTCCCCGGTCACCCTGCGCGAGGCTCGGCTGGTCGCCCCGGGATGGTGGGAATGGTCCTGCACCGGAGCTGCCGGACCTCAACTGGCCGCAGAGGTTTCAGCTCAAGAGCCGGGGCAGCTCTAATGGCAGAGATTAACTCTTTGCTTAGCCCCCAGGCAGGTGACCCCGCCATGCCGTCTCGGAGGTCCCTCGTCCCTCTGCAGCCTCTGGGGTCACTGCCTGGCCCAGCTCAGGGCAGAGCCCGGCAGGATGGGCAGCCCTGGGCTGGCAGCACTGCCTGCCGGGTGGAAGCTGGCAGGGGGGTTTCAGAGCATGTTGCTGCCTTGCCAAGGGGTGGGATGGGTGCACCCGTGGAGAGCCCCGGGAGGCTCTGGGCCGGGGGCTGGATGCAGCCGCTCAGCACCTGCAGCCGTGGCCCCCTTCCCCCTCTCCCGCCAATGGTGCTCGTGGAGCAGAGGGGTCAGGAGGCTCCGCCGCCCGCGCCTGGCGTGGCTGTGAGCTGACCAGCCCTGTCCGCCTTCCCTCATGCATCCTGCAGGGCGTGGGGCGCGGGGGCACCGTGTGCCCGGTGCTGCGTGGCTCTGGGGTCACGCACGGCTGCTAACGACCCTTCCCTCTCAGCACAGCAAATTAGTGCTGTCCCCGAGCTGGAGGTGCACGGCCCGGCGCTGGCTCCGCGGGGCGGCACAGAGGGCAGCTCAGCCCTCCTGGGGAGGGCTGAAGCCTTTTGAAGCCAGAGTGTGGTTCTAATCTGGAGGGGAACCAGCATGGAGGGACTCTGAGCTCTGAGGGCTGGCGGGTGTACTGGTGCCACGCTCAGGAAGGGGAGGGCTGCCCAGAGCCATGCTCTGCAGAGAGCCCCGGTGCTCACCCACCTCCCTCCTCTCCCGCAGCCCCTGCTCACCTGCCCGACAGCATCCACAAGAAAAAGCACACGCGCCCAACCTTCACCGGGCACCAGATCTTCGCTCTGGAGAAGACTTTTGAGCAGACCAAATACCTGGCGGGTCCGGAGAGAGCGCGGCTGGCCTATTCCCTTGGCATGACAGAGTCCCAGGTGAAGGTGAGTGCTGGTCCCCGTGAGGCACGGGGTGTGCGGTGTGGTGGCTGCTAACCGAGCCGGGGCCGTGGGGCGGCAGGTCTGGTTCCAGAACCGACGGACCAAATGGAGGAAGAAGAGCGCCCTGGAGCCCTCCTCGTCCTCGCAGCGGGCGGGGGGCTCTGGCGGAGAGCGGGCAGCCTCTGAAACCGAGGACGACGAGTACAACAAGCCCCTGGACCCCGACTCGGATGATGAGAAGATCCGGCTGCTGCTGAGGAAGCACCGTGCTGCCTTCTCGGTGCTGGGCTTGGGCACGCACAGTGGCTGAGGGCCGGCACAGCCCCCCTCTGGGCCACAGGGCGCCCGGCCCGGTTGCCTGCCTCCTGCCAGGGGGTGACCCCCACGCCTGGCTGTGGGGAGGGGGCAGCCACTGCCCCCCTCCTGGTGGCTGCTGCCCAGGGTTCATGCTGGTGGGGCTGGGAGCCACACGTGTGGGCAGCATCAGGCGCAGCCATGCTGTCGGCATTGATGAAATAAACGTCCCAGCCCCAGCCGAGTCCCAGCGCTTGCTTCATGGGCGTGCGGTCAGGGTGCCCTCGCGAGGCTGTGCCCGAGGAGGGGCTGGGATAGCACCTACGGGGCAGTGTCTGCATGCCAGGCAGGGGAAGGGGCCGTGGCTGTGGTGCTGTGTGTGGGCAGGAAGGGCACACGGTAGTGGGGCGGACCTGGGGACATTTCCCAGGGTTTTCCCCGGCTTAGGTGTGCACCGGCAGCGAGAGGTGCTGGTTCAAAAGTCACTCGTTGGGGCCTCTTGTTGGAACCTCGTAGCAGCAAATAAATATCATTTATCTTAATGGTGTGAGTGAGAGCCCGTTCACCTGTCGGGGCCGCAGGATTGATGTGGTGTCAATAGTCCCAGTGTGTTTGCCTGCCAACCTGGTGGGCCCCCCTGCGCTGCACCCCCGTTCCATGGGGGTGCGCGTGGGGCAGTGTGTCCCTGCTCCAGCTCCCCGTGGCTCAGCCCTTGCACCCCAGTGGCAGGTGCCACGTAGGGCTGGCTGTCCCCAGCCCTCGGGATGCCCAAGGGACTTCTGCTCGTGTGGGCACACTGCGGGGGCCCAGTGAGCTCGGCAGTTGCTCAGCCAAGAGCCAGCTGGGTGCCAGCCAGGTGTGAGCAAACAGACCGGCCGAAATCGATAGGAGATAAGGTGCTGCCGGCCCATCCTATAGGGATTAGCAATGCGGCACAGGCGAGGAGGTGCTACCCTCCCCTGTGGCTACAGGCAGCATCAGAGGACAGGCCAAGTTCCGCCCCCGGGGATGGCTGAACCCCCCACAGCGCTTGGGCTTTGCAGGGGGCCCTCCAGTCTCGTGGTGTGGGGCTGGAGACTGTCTTTGTGTGACCCATCCGCCCTGGCTGCAAGGCTGACAGTCAGCTTCAAGTCCCCTCTAGTCTGTCCTCTCTGCTGCGTGTGGGGCCGGGGGCCCTTTGCAAGGAGCCCTGACAGCACTTCCCCAGGGCGCAGGGAAGCCTGATCCCCACCGTGGGTCCCCTTCCAGCCCCCAGCGAGCATGGGGCTTGCAACACTTCCCCCTCAGCCGCACAGCTCTTCCGCTGCCTCGGCAGGACGGGTGCCAGCAGGCAGCGGAGCCCATGAACCCTCTGCAAGACGTGGAGGGACAGGTCCTGGGGTGGCAGCTGCGTGCCCCAGCGCCGTGGCAGGGCCGGGAGAGCCACGTCACTGCCCGTGGGCAGAGCCAGCGCTCGGCAGGAGCAGGGTCCGCACGCTGGGAGAAGTGAGGGGCTGCCGTCGGGATATTTTTTTGACATTTTCTAAGCTGCCCAGCGTGGTTGACAATTTTTAATGTACTAACTGCCTGGTCCAGTGAGCTGATTAATTGGTGCTGTGGAAATCAATACAAAACAGAAAATTAAAACAATTTTAAAGTGATTAAGTAGTTTAACACCTGTCTGATGCCACGTCAGGGCTGGGAGACAAATAAAGCAGGTGGCAAAGGGCCTGCTGCAGCCAGGGAGAGTGACAAATTGCAGGCGCAGCCTGGCTGCCCCGTGCATCCCCGCAGCCGGTCGGGTCCCCCCAGCAGCGCTGCTCTGCGCAGGGCCCCAGGGCCTGGGACCACCCTCCTCCCGCCGCTCTGCCCACCGCCACCCACGCCGGCCGCTTCTGCTGCGGTTTGCTGCAGGTTGTTTGCTGCAGCAGAGCGTCCCCTGCCAGCACTGGGGTCTCGACAGGCCGTGCAGCGCCTGGTCAGTGGCTCTGCCCGCCCCAAACCCGCTGTCCGCCCGCGGCCTGGCGCTGGGCAGCCCTGGGGGTGCGGGCAGAGCTCGGTGAGCGTGGCAGAGCTTGGGGCCGGCCGCGCTGGGGGTGTGTGGGTGCGAGCACGGGCAGGGCCGCCTGGCAGGCAGATGGATAGCGGCTCCGCTTCAATTCTGCATCCCTTTTCTCCCAGACAAACCCCGTCGGATTTTCATAAATCAAAGCGCCACACTGTTTAATAAAAATTTATTGACTTACAAGTGATTATTTATCAAAAGGCCATTAATAGCGGCTCCGGGAATGATGTGCTACTGGGTGGTGCGTGGAGACTAATAGCAAATCAATGCCAGCATCCGGGCAGAATGCATATGAGGGCCCCCGGCCCCAGCGGGCTGCATGGCTGCTGCAGCCAGAGCCAGCAGCCCCTACCCCATGGGCCGCCCAGCACTCCCCCCGGTTATTTATCGCTTACAAATGAAATGATCGATACTTTTAATCTAGAGCTAAATTTATTAACTTTCTCATCGGAGAGAGACATATTGACTGGGGGCATGGGGAGGAGGGAGCCGAGGTAAGATGGATGTGTGCCTCCTAACCTGTCCAGCCACCTCCCTGCCTGCTGCAGAGCATCCCAGCAGTACTGGGCCTGCTGGGGATGGTCCCCAAGCACAGTGGGGCCGTTGGAGGCCCCGCAGAGCTGTGAGGTGGGCAGGCACGGGGAGGTTCCCACACATCACCGCGGCCTCTGCGACGAGGCTGGGGGAAGCTCGCGGGGGGCACCCGGAGCCAGACCCAAGAGCAGGTGCTGCTGCAGGAGACCTGCCCTGGGGAGAGCCCCTGCCCGTGCCTGCAGGTGTTTTCCCAGCCTGAGGGTAATGCCCGTACCCCCGCAGAGACAAGACCACGGGGCGCACGGCCCTGCGGATGGGAAGGGTGTGGGTGAGTGCGCAGGAGCCCGCCAGGGAAAGGCACAGGAGACCCTGCCCAGGCAGCAGGGACGGGCGGGCAGCGATGCCCACGGCCCCAGGCTGGGGCTGCATCCCCGGCTGCAGCTCAGCACGTGGGGAAGGGGCACCCCCCAGGCCCCAGAGAGTGCGACACTGCCAGGGCACCCCGCGGCTCTCGGGGTCAAGGGACTCTCCAGAACATGGCACAGTGTGGGGTGGGAGGAAGATTTCATCCAAACGGCCCCTGGGCAAGGGAAAATCTTTGCCAGCCTTGGGGCCAGAGCAGCAAAGCTGGGGCTGGATCAGGCCATCAGTGGCTGACAGGGAGGTCGGCAGCAGCTTTCCGGGAAAGCACATGAGCGGGAACTGGAGTGAATGCAGCTCCTAAGATGTTATTAAACAGTACCGGCAAGTTCTGCAAGGTAGCGCACACCTGCCTGGTAACTGAGGGTTAACTATGCTACAGGTTAACTCCCATAATACATAGGCTATACCCAGCATTTCTTACACAATTAAACAATGATGGTCAAAAAGCTCTGCATAAATAGAACAACTTCCAAGAAGCTAAGGGTTGTGCTTTTATTTTCTGTCTTTGGGTTGTTGTTTGTTTTTTTTTAAAATAACAAAGCAACAGCCCCATCGATTAACAGACATGGATGGAGGATTGGTGAACTGGTGTTAGGAGCTGTCCCGAGGGAGTTGGGTAGAACAAGTAAACCAAAATGCTGGCGAAAAAGATTTTTAACGCCAGTATAAACTCCTACAGAAGGAGGGCTCCCAGCCTGGATAAATGAGACGTCTGTTAGTAACTAGCAGTTGTTTTGTCTTGTGTTGGCAGCACAGGAGCAGAAGCAATACACCTGTAGATGCTAACTGTCATCTCCTGCTTGGCTTCAGCTGCTTTTGTTTAGTTGTCACCAGTGGAAAGGAAAAGACAATGGACTTTGTTTCTTCTTTTTGTCCCTCTAGATCAATTGTCACAGCTGAAGTTGGGCAGAAGAGAAGAATACAAACTTGGGGTACAGGGAAAAGCCGGGGGCCAATAAGGGTGTCTCCATCACCAAACAAGAACAGCAGGGTTCCTCTTGGTGAGGCTGGATGTTAGCGGAGATCGTGTGTAACAGAGAACTGAATGCAGTGTTCGTGTCGGTAACGTGTCACTGTGTGCACATTTATAGAGAATCGTATTTTGAGCAGTACAAATAGCAAAGGTAAATCAATTCAGTATAGAAATATTTCCCATAACTGTACGTTAACTGATCATATGCTATTAAGTGTAGCTTTACATCATGGTAAGGAAGACTGTCCCCCCTCGGGTATTGCACTGGGAACAGTTTGTGCCTAAATCGATGGTCCTGGGGTAGGTGGAAAATAGCACACCACGGAAAACGGGCTCCTCCGTGTGAGGACAAGCTGCACACACCCGCTCGCACCTTGTCTGTGCGCAGGTAAAGGCTGACTGGCCCAAAAGGAGGGTTCTCGGGCCACAAAAAACACGAGGCATGGCGGCTGCACAGATCCGAATAACACAAGTGAGGGTATGGGGGAGGTCAGGGGAGTTTCTGAACTCTTCCTCTCTGTGGCTTTCTTTTTCTCTTTCTTGGTATCATGGTGATTTACCCCCAAAAAAAACAAGCAGGAAGTAAACTACCTTGAATCTGTGTTGTTACCTAGTGCAGAGAAGTTGAGGTTTAAGGACACTTACGCAGAACAGCTGTCCTGGCTTGGGGGCAATGAACACCCCCGGGGTAGGAAGGAGGCACCAAAGCGTTTCCTTCTGACTTCTCCAGGTTCCAGGGAGCACAAGCCGGGAGCATTAAAATGGCCTCGGCCTGTGAGAGCAGAGGACCCGAGGGAAGGTCTGTGATTTGTGGGAAAATAAGGAAAACTGGAAAGTACACGGGGCAAACGCTCAAATGCAAGTTGTTTTACTGCACAACATACTCGCCGGGCTGGAAGGGAAAGGGGCACCACCTCCAGCACAGGATTTCAGGTTCCTTACAACAAGATCCAGATTATCTGTGTGCATGTTGGTGTACAAGATCAGATCCCACCCCTGCCCTCAGGAGACATTTAAAAGGGGATCTCCCACCGCAGGCCGAGCTCCCCCACAGCAGGGACGGGTCCCTCGGGAGCCCCACACCAGTAACAACCATCTGGCAACCCACCGTTCACCCCTGAGGGACCCCAGGGAAGAGGCTGGTGCTCGGACGCTGGAGAAGGGTTAGGCCACAATAGGAGGGTGGAAAGGACGAGGGGAGGTTTCTCCTTATGGCAGTAAAGCTGGAAATGGCCGAGAGCACACGCTGCTCATGTGGGGTTTAGGCTGCAGACACAAGGCACAGGGCTCACGAAGGCTCCCTCAGTTGTCAAAGCAGCTGATTTCAGCACAGCTCGCCA